GACGGAAATGTAAATGACGATAAAATAAATGACGGGAATGTAAATGACGAGAATGTAAATTATGGAAAATAAATGACGGAATGTAAATAGCGGAAAATAAAAGACGAGAAAATAAATGACGGAAAATAAAGGACGAGAAAGTAAATAAAGAAAAAGATGAATAACTTAATTAAAAACACCCTTGGAGAGGGTTTACAAAAGCTAGCAAATGAGAGGAAAATGGAAGAAAAGATGGAGTGATGGATGATCAAAGAGGGAATCCAAAGCCTTCCTTTTATACCCAAAGGAGGCACTAAAAGACAAAAAGACAAAACTTAATGGTTAAGCTTCCTAAAACTAGTTATAAAGTAAAAATAGAGGAACTAGAAAGTACATATTCCTAACAAGAGTTTAAATCTCAGATTTTTAATCAAAACCCAGCTATCTACAGTTGTCTTCCATTAACTCAAAAAGGCAACAACTTAATCAATAAGTCCTCCAAAAAGCTATGCATGTATCAGGTCGATGTTGCACCAATGCTGCAGCATTTGTTGTTTTCACAAAAACTCTCAATTATCATCATTTACACATACCAACAAGTCAACCACAATATTTAGCTTCATAATAACAAAAGTATAAAGAAATAAATGAAAAGGACTCAAAGTGGGAATGAAAAGAAATTATTGTAACTAAAAAGACGTAAAAAGAGCGCGTTATGTGTTAAATTCTCAACACATATCAGTGTTCATACCTGTTCTTTCGTGTAGCAACTATTCTTATCATGTTCATAAATGTTATGCAGTCCAGGTTCATATATATGTCAATTTTTTTTCGTATTTTACACAATGGTTCATATATATATATATATATATATATATGTGTGTGTGTGTGTGTGTGTGTGTGTGTTCATATGGTTCTTACATTAACATAAATAATGTGATTTTTTGATTTTGTAACTCCCAATTAATGATATGAGAGTTACATAAAAAAGAAAATTACCTAAATATCATCTTCCCCTTTATTCACATAGGGTGCATTTTGTACCTAGACTGAGTGGGACGGGACGGGACAAAAATAAATAGTGCCATGTTTGGCACGCCATGGGACAAAAATAAGGGTGGACAACATTATACAAAAATGAGTTTTCATGGGACTATTTTTTAGTTTTTTTGTTCCACCAAAAAAGGTGGAACAACATGGGACTAAACCTTAATATTACAATTTTACCCTTATTAAATCACATCAGGTACAAAACCTAATTATAAACTCCATCGCCTCCTATGTTTCTTCATCTTGCAGCTTGATTACGGCCTCCATCTTCCACGAACTCCAAATCAATTCCACACTCCGACCTCCACGAGCTCAAACTTGATTCCAGATTCGGGTAAATTTATTCTCTATCTTCCATGATTGTCGATTTCTCCATAATTTCCTACACCAAATCGATTTCACGAACTCGATTCCACAAACTCCAGCTTCCACCAAATCGATTTCTCCATACTTTCCATGGTTGTCGATTTCATGAACTCCAGCTTCCACCAAATCGATTTCACAAACTCAATTCCACGAACTCGAAATCAGTTTTCGAATCGATTGGCTACTGTTGCTTTCTTTGTGATTTTGATTGGCTACTATTGTTTCAAGAGTCGATTGTGTTTGTTTCATTGATCTGTAAACTATAGCTGTTAACTTATGATGGAATTGAATTGTTTATTTTCAAAATCGATTGGCTACTGCTGCGATGCTTTTGAGTTTTCATTGGACTATGAATACAGAGTAGAAAGCACAAATAACTCTATTTATCGTAAACAATTATAGCAGAATACAGAGTAGAAAGCACCATTGTTGTATATTTTAGCATTTGCATATTATGATGGTGATGTTCATGTGAGATTTTATTGACATCAGCTTTATTATTTGATCAATAATAACATTAAACAACATTTAGGGACAATCTAGTCATTTTAACAGTTTTGTCATGGCATGTCCAGCTTACCAAACGCATGACAGACAATTAGTCCAGTCTTGTTCTAGTCGTACCAAACGTAGGTCAGACAATTAGTCTTGTCCTGTCATGTCCCGTCTCATCCAGTCTGCGTACCAAACGCTACCATATGTTTTTTGAAATGTAAATTTTAAAAATTATTTTTTTATAATGATTAATCACAACCATTTACTGTAAAAATAAATGGCCTAGATTAGTTAACAAAGTTAACACAATAATCTTGGTTAACATTTGAACCAGCCCTCGTACGTATATACTACCTTATAAATCATATTTATCAAAAGTCTTAAAAACAACTTTTAATGAACAAAGTACTATACATTTATGCACAAAATATTAGAATTCTTAAAAACAACTCATAACGCATTACGTACTACTATTTTATGCATTCAGTCTTAAAATTTCTTAATCTACAATTAAAATAACATATAGTATAAGTTACTAATGCACATTATTATCTTTTCTTTTCATATTCCCAAGACTTTTGACACGTTTCACTCATGCATTCACCCTCTCATACCTCTATGTCTTCTCCATATCCCCCAATGTGATATTCAAACTAATATTCACAATGAGTTATTAAAAGTTCTCTCATTCATCTTCCATTCAATTGCTCTAGAACTCTCGCTCTCGGTCTCTTGATTATTTGTTCTTGGTGTAAATCGAACACATTTGTAGAGTCATTTACATATATTGGATTTTAAATTGTTATACAATTTTTTTCATCGATAGACTGTAATTGGAATCATAACTCTTATTTATTCAAATTGTATTAATATGTAAATACCAAGTGTAACTTATATCATCGTTAAATCTTCTCTATAAAATCAGTGAAACTTCAAAATCGTTAAAATTCACGGCTCCCACCGCATTGCGCGGATACACAACTAGTATATATATATATATATATATATATATCGGTAGATTGTATATATATATATATATATAGTGAAAGATTCATTTGAGAAATGGTAAGCATTTCAGAAGTAAAAAGTGATCATGTCCCTTCATTTGGTCAACATTTACAGATTTAACTGTTGGGTTCAAGATTAGAGCTAAAGTGTTGTATTCAAGTTTCTCCATTTACTTAGCTTAATTGTAATTAGTTTAGTTTTATTTCCTTAGTATAAATAGTCTTTTCTTTGTAATTGTAATTACACACAATTGATTACATCATTAATCAGAAAAGGTGATTTGACAGCAAAGTAATTCTCTCTCTCCAATGTATCTTACATTCATCTTTGTTCTTGAGATTTGATGATGATTACATCAAGATTC